TCTATAATAATGTATGTTCCCTGCCTTGGCTACTGTTTACAGTTTGTCTACATGATATTTAACGATCGACAGTTGGCAATGCACTAAAGATTTCTCAGTGTAAGGAACACACTTTGTGGCTTTTTTATAAAAGGTTCACTTTGTATTCTCAATATAAAATTCAGCCATATTTCTCACAGGAAATTTATGGAAGGATAATTCCGAATTTTTAACACTGTCGCTTCGACAAAGTGGCACACAACAGGTCGTTCCCCTGTACATTTTACCTTTAGGCACTTTTTCCGTGTCACGTGCCATATTTATCCAAACAAACAGCAAACCGAACGGCTCGAAACTTTCCAAAATATACTCGAAACAAGCGAGGTTGCTTTAAATTTTACTCGCGTAAATATGTTGTAGTTAAAAACTCCAATAAGACACTTGAACAGCAGTGAATAGTACTTAAAAGTACTTTATAAATCTTTGAAAACCTTTGAAATATGAAATCTCGGTATTTCAAACAGTAACTGTTTTGATTTTTCGCGCCAAACAACCTCAATGTTTTGTGGTTGTGAAACGAACGTTTGATCAAACATCTGTTGTTTTGGGACTGTCAAGTGTGCAAACATTTTTGTCTCTCGAGTCGCTAGAATTAAACCGATCATTAAAATTTTTAGGCAAATAATAGTTTACAACGTGTTCGTTCTTATCGAAAATAATTTAATGCAGAACTCACCTTCATGTTGTGAAATATTCAAAAATTTGTTCCTGACTACTACGAATCGAACTCCTTCCCCGCTTCAGTGAGTTTGTACGCCATGTTAAATGTTTCAACCACACTCGCTTGTAGAAGCCCAAGACGAAGTAGAAATATGAAACAAGTCATACAGATTTAGTCAAAACTTTAATCAAAGCAAAAATGATAAAAGTTTTCTTGCAATTCTCATGTGTTTAGCACCTTTCCTCGTTCGAAAAGTGTAAGTGCCATGTTGAAAAATTCTGCTGTGTAACTAAACTACCATGATGCTTAGCAATTCCGCAATTATAGCACAAAAATTCGAAACGACGCTATCCCATGACACTTTGCGCTCCCACACTTAAACCATTGAACTACTTTGTGCTCCCACACTTAAACCATTGAACTATAAAGACTTAAACTAGGCACCAGGCCTCCAGGCAATGCGCAAACTATTGCTTCAGTTGTCATGTAAGGCATGTAATATAGTTTCTAGCTCTACGAATATAAGGAATATTCACAAATATTTTCAATCAGTTATTGACTGTTAATTTATTTGTAATAAATTCTCGGAAAATGAAAATTCTCTACAATGATTCAATAAAACATGGAAAGAAACTCAACTTTAGAAATTAAATTAGAATGTAGTTTATATATGGTACCAGGGACGATGGACAGGGGGTGGGGCAAGGTCTCCTTTCCTAAAGGGGGCAAATGTAGCATTTTAATATAAATAGAACCCAATATTTTTGTCCCAAACTTACTTTAATATTAACAAAGATAAATATGATAGAAGAGAATTTGTTTGTTTATTTAGCTATTTCCCAAAGTCCTGGGTCTAGTTGCACAAATCCCTTGTTGGAGGGACAAGAAATATAGCAGCACACGTTTAAATTAAAGTTTAATGTAAAAAGAAGATATTTCCTTTTTGGTCATGTAAAAAGTTGATATTTGATAGTAGATACTTCTTTCACATATTTGATGCCTGTCTCCATATATTTTGCCCCTCCAAACGACCCCAGAATATGCACTGTGATCCCTTTTGAAAAAAAGCCCATTACAGTAATGTGAATATACTAACCCATATAGAAACTAAATCCAGGATGAGGAAAATATATCATTTTGGAAAAAATATGCAAAAATTGCAAAAGATGTTATATTTAAATTTAACAAATTTGTTTTCGTTCTTCGAGAAAATTTAAGTAAAAATAATTTATTATTAACCATTATTTCTTATGTTGAGAATTTGATTTCTTGTTTTAAAAATTTTCTTAAAAGACATTGGCAACCAAAATTTTTATTGCTTCATCTGAAAGAGCATGAAAAAATAAGCCGGTTGGCCGTTTAATGCTCTGTTCTATCTCATCTAGTTCCGAAGTTATATGCAAAAATGTGCAAAATATAAATTGCTGATTCAGCACAACGTGTGACGTCATTAGTTGGGTAAGTATGTTTATTAAATAGTAAACTGAAGCATAGCTCAGTTATTATGGGCCCAAATTAAATGAAATTTTGCATACTGATTGTACATGATGAGACGCATTGAAAAACGCTTCTAATTTTGTTGCCAAGGTAACAATGTCGTTCCCAGGCCCCTTGCACCAATTTTATAAAACAGCTTTATTCATGGTACTGATAGGGTTAAAATAATATCAGAAGTATGTGTACCATACCTATGCATGCCAAAAGTTTACTTGCATGATAATAATTCGAAAATGACATACACATAGATAAATGCAACTAGTTATTCAAAATCAGTCGAGGGGCCTGGGAACGACTGTGTTGCCTTGACAACAAAATTAAAAGTATTTTCCCATGCATCTCACCATGTACTATCTGTATGCAAAATTTCATTTGATTTGAGCCAATAATAACTATGCTTTAGTTTACAATTCAATATACATACTTATCCAACTAATGACTCACACGTTGTGCTGAATCAGCAATTTATATTTTGCACATTTTTGCGTATAACTTCGGAACTAGATGAGATAGAATAAAGCATTAAATGGCCAACCGGCTTATTTTTCATGAAGCAATAAAAATTTTGGTTGCCAATGTCCTTTAAGAAAATGATTTGATATGAAGATGACAAAATCGTAAGAAAACATTCGTATTTCAAGAAAACAAATGTAATTTAAGATAATTATGTTAAGAGAATTTTCCTTATTTCAAGAAAAAATGTCTTGCAAATCAAGTACTTCTCATTTTGAAAATCCGTTTTCTAATTAAGAAAACTAGTTTCTCATTTCAACAAATATTTTTTTGAAGTAAGAATTGTTTTCTCAATAAGAAATTTTTTTTGCTGTGTAGTTACAGATACTGTCCAACTATATTGACAGACAATTGCGCGCGTGAATTCTAGCGAGCTTCTGATCAAATATCAAACTGTTAGATTTTTTAGAAATTGAGAACTCGCGCATGCAGAAAACTAAGTTCCGCGCAAACAGGCACAAATAACTTTTTACTTAGGAATAGTGTGACGCACAGGTATATTTGTTAACAAACAACAAGCGCATTTTCCTGTTATGGAATTATATTGATTAAGTACTGTAGTTGCTCACTGAAAACATCGCTCAAACCACTTAGTAGCCCGTGTGCAGGCCCAAGGGAACTGATAGTGGGCCTGCAAGCAAGGCCCGGTATTTTGTACTTTCCGTGTTCGCCCACGAACGCGGCATTCTGATTGGCTGTTTGCTGTTGGATTCTATAATTAGGTCAGTGATTCGTGACAAAGGCTCTCGATAAGCTTAAAATTCGAAAATTGATAACTTTTTTCGATTACAAATGGAACAAGAGCAGACTGTTTATTGTTTACTTGAAGGAAGAGATGTTTTTGCCGTTATGCCAATGGGGATTGCTTGTCGTGAGGTGTTGGAATAGCAACATTATGACTGGGGTAAACTATAGTAACCTTTACCACAGAGCCTTTAATACACTTGAGTTTCATTAATTTCAAACAGACTTGATACGTTATATGTTCCTCAAGAAAATGATCTTTTGGTTGATGTTGAGATGCAGTTGCATGTAAGCCTATTCGAAACACTTCGCGATTTACAAGGCTTCGCTGAGAGAGCGAAACAAAAGACGGTATTAAATTGCCGTTTGAAACGAAACGATCTGGACTCTGAACGCTCTCTTCTTTGTAGAGTTCTTTACCAAATGAAATAACTGAAATAAAGTTCGTACTTTCCGCCGCCAACAAGAATTGCACACACGATCTGATAAGTGAGACAATTTATTTATAACAATGGGCCATGGCGACAGCGAAGCACACATTATAAATGCTAATGTGGTCGCACGACTTCCCTCACGATTTGAAGTTTGAGACTGGTTTTCTGTTCAAATTCGTACTAATTTGCCTGTTCCGATTTTAGTTGAAAATGAGCACTTGCAAATTTGGCAATTACTGACTGCGTTGCTTGCTTTTTTGGAGTTAAAACGCAGCCATTTACACATTGTTTATGTTCTGAATAAGCAGAGAAAACCCCGCAACATTTTAATGCGAGTTTGTTTGTTAATATTTGGGTGCTGTCATTGGTTCTTTTTTGACAATTGACGCGCGAATGGGGCGTGTTATGAAAAGGGGCGTTTTACAAAATACCGGGCCTTGCTTGCAGGCCCACTATCAGTTCCCTTGGGCCTGCACGCGGGCTAACCACTTAGCTGCTAAACTTTTACCACTGGCGTACAGTAGCTTGATTAACCGGCAAAGATGACCAGCTAGCTTGCACTGAGTTAAAGCCCAAGTTGATCAACTTTCGGTTTAACAGTAACCTTTATCTTTTAGGGTACGAACAAGATCACAAACAATGACAATGGTAAAACAGAAAATTTTGGTAGGATATAACATATTAATGTTTGCTAAGTTACAACAAATATTTTAAAATTAATATCATTATAGTCAATTTACGTGATTTTAATTGGTTGAAAAGGTCTACGAAGTGCACATTGTGCAATTAATGTTTAATTTGCACGCTTCTGCGCCCGCAGTTGGTGCACGGTAAATAAAAAACAACTCTTGTATAGACTACATCTGGCCCTTATTATAATATATCAAAATTACAACCCAACCTCACTCCATGCACTCCAAAACTAACCTGCCTCTAAACCCTACCCCCACCCCCACCACTTCAGTAGGGCTAGGTAAAGTCACAACCGGTTTTTTTGTGTAGTAAATTGGATAAAATGATACGGGAAATTACACTTGTTCTCTTGCACATGTGCTTGCTTGGCGAAATATTTATAATACCTAATATTATAAATATTTCGCCAAACATGCGTGCAATTTATTATAATAATTTCCTTTCCACAATGCATTTGTGCGCCAATTTTGTTTTCTGGAACTGGTCAAATCACAGTGCGTAATTGTCGGTGTCCAAAATTGTCGCCAGTGCATAAAGAAATTAAACTAGAATCAATATATCAATCCCATTGCCATTCAGTTATTAATACTTAATCAATAATTTTATTGTTACAGATGCCACCACTTTAAATGGCTTGCCTGTCTTGAAGACTTCTTCCCATGGATTGACCTTACAAGAAATTATTAGTATATGCGTTGATGGCGAGTTCCCAGCCGAAAAATTATGCACTAAAGTGCCAATGATGATTGACCGAAGTGCTGTGTTTGTAATTGATTTGTCTGTTGTCAATCCCTTAGATTTAACTGCTGACGATTGTGGAGTATATGGTTGCCATTCATCCCCTTCTGTGGAAGCAGAAGTGGATGTTGATGATGATGGTGTTCTGGGGAGTAACGTAAGGACTGTAAGCAAAGATGAAGAAAGTTCTCATTCTCTTAACACGCGGCAATTTCTTATAAAACGCCAATACAGTTGGCATAGTTTGTCCAAAGACTACCGTCGTATAATAACGAAGGTTGAAGAAAATAACGCGTTGTTGCATTTCGCCGTTGTCCAGTACATAGTTAAAACGAAGGATACGTCAAATCTGTTTGAAAAACCCCATGGTTGTAGTAAGAAAAGCAAAGAACCATATATTCGCACCAAGCCCAGCGTCATGGAGAAAATTAGAGAACTGGGGCAGAAAGGAAGTGCCAATACGTTTATTCAGTTTGCGGCAGATAACAACGACATAAACAAGGAGATGCTTGACGGAAAGGATACAACACATGCTACAACACTAGTTGTTTATCAGCAGAAGCCATTTGGCCCAATGCCACGGAAAGAAGTGCTTGCCGATCATACCAAGAAGAAAAGGTCTCTGACGAAAGTTAACAGCTGTGACGAAATTTTGGAATGTTCAGCTCATGGAAAATGCCCGATTGTCACAGATTTTCTCGGTCAAATTGGTACAGAGTCTTTTCACACCACAACTGATGCATACATATCATCATGCAGGATGGATTTGACATGGGCACTTGGACGTATGTCCCCAACGAAATTGTTTGATATTGCCGAAGTCACAAAAGAGGAAACTGACCAGCCCATTCCAAGTTGGAGTGGATTTAACTCCATGTTGTTTCCAGGTATCGTACAGCCTACTGTAATTGGTTACTGTCCAATGATAAATGGTTCTTCCACCGAACTAAGCATGGTATACACGGTTATGAAGAAAGCGCAAAATATCTGCTCAAGCCTTCAACAGAGAGACATGGTCATCACATTTGATCTGGCGATCTATGCGAAAGCGAAACAAATCCAATGGAAATTTCCCGAAGAGTTCGCAGACACCATAATTCGTATGGGTGGCTTCTATATTGCATTGCATTTTCTTGCAGTCTTAGGAAAGAAATATCAGAACTCTGGCTTGGAGGATGTATTAATAGAATCTGGGGCGTATGGATCTGGTAGCGTAATGGTGTTAATGAAAGGAAAGTCATACAACAGAGGGGTGAGAGCACACAAACTGGTCATGGAAGCGCTATTTCGTCTGATGTGGCAATCATTTCTACATTGGTTAAACGGTGGAGGTATGGAATCCCAGGAGCAAATTGTAGATGAAGAGCATATTACTGATTCAATCAAATCTTTTCGTTTGGCTGTTCAAAATAAAGATCACGTTCCACAGAGTGCAAAGGCTACTATGTCCGAATTGTTTACTTTGATGGAACTTTTCGAAGTCTTCAGACAAGAACAGAAGTCCCGATTGAAGATGTTTGATTTCTGGAACGAGTATATCAGCATGGTTATGAATCTTCTTCAATTTGTCAAAGCAGAACGGACGGGAAACTGGTCTCTTCATCTTGCAGCTACATCAGAAATGGTACCTTACTTCTACGCCCATGACAGACCTAACTACTCTCGGTGGCTTCCTGTGTATTTTTGGCAGACATGGAACAACTTGAGAAAAACAATCCTGTTGTTTACAATCAATTCCAGGATGGGGGCCACGCTGTGAATTGCTCAAGTCAACCATTTGCTAAAGTATGGACTGACATGGCACTCGAGCAATCTATCAATTTAGATTCCAAATCTAAAGGAGGCATAATTGGGATCAGCCAAAATCCAGACGCACTTCAAAGATGGTTCTTAACCATCCATGAAAGATCAGCCATCACCACAGTAGTCAAGCAAATGTGTGGAATTAACGATTTGGACAGAGTTGGAACACGCAAGGAAGCAGCCCGAAAGCGTGTGGAGCGTGATGAGAAAGATGTTGAGAAGATAGTTGCTTGTTTGAAATCTGGTCTCATGAAGGATCCTTTTTCGGATGATAACAATATTTTGTGTAATATTGCAACTGGTGTTGTGTTGCCTGAAGAAGTAGCACACAGATTGGTGAAAAGCAAAGAAGAGGGTCTGATGCAGTTGGACTGCTTCGTACAGCAACGCTTACATTGTAACAGTCTGAGCGTTTGGGATGCCATTCCAAACCTAAAGATCAAGATGTTCAACACCACAACAAAGAAAATCAGAGTCCCGTCTTCAAACGAGAAGTCTGTTGTCATGGCTGAAGACAGAGATCTTTTTGGATGGCTGTTAATTGTTGCCAATGTTCGAGAAATCAACCTAAGAGAAGTTCTCAGCTTTGAGCTCTCAGCAGTACCATACTCCCTGGCACATTCGGATGGCACTCATCGCAAGACGGCAAAGAGTGTACTACTCCAAATTTTGGGAAATTACGTCACTGTGGAATCACGACTTACATCCATTCCAGGGATCGCAACTGTCTATATCCTTGATGGCATGGCACTGGTACAGATGATGAAATTTGCAGGAGTGACAACATTTGGTGAGATGGCAGTCAAGTACTACGAAGTAATCACAAGTTACTTTAGGCAAGGAAACTGCAGTACTGGCATATTTCCATCAAAGGAGGGGAGCGGAAGAAATGCGGACAAGCAAATGCATTAGAAGTTAAGATACATGGAGAATCCACCCCAGTCCCTAAGCAGTGGAATAAATACATCTCAAATGTGAAGAATAAAGTGAGCCTTTGCGCGTTTCTGACAGAAAGCTTCTGTGAAATTGGAAAACGTCAGCTTCAGTCAAACAAGCAACTTGTTATTGGATGAGGAATGAGGGACGGAGACCTTTCACTATCGGCCAGGAATGGTCAAAATCTTACAGTTCCAACTTTAGTATCAGATCATGAGGAGGCAGACACACGAATCATATTGCATGCTTGTGAAGATGGGCAGAGGATTGTAGTACAGTCACCTGACATGGACGTTCTGCTTCTCTGTGTGTCACATTATTGTGAAATTGGATGCCAACAACTGTGGTTCAGAACCAGAGTCAAGGATCGCCTATACTACATTCCAGCACATGATGCATCTACAAATCTTGGCCCTGAAATCTGCTCAGCCCTCCCTGCGTCCCACGTTCTAACAGGATGTGACTCGACAAGTGCATTTTCGCGCATTGGAAAGAAGAAAGCATGGAAAGTCATCACAAAAAGCAAAACACATCAGGAGACTCTTAGATGCATGGGACAATCGGTGGATATCGATGAAAATACAGTTCAAAATATCGAAGCCTTTGTCCGTAGTTTGTATGCAATATCAGCGAAAGGTCCAACAACAGTTGATGAAGCCCGCTATGTAATGTTTTGTCAAAAATCAAAGAGTAACATGGCACTTCCTCAAATGTCTGACAGTCTTCTGCAGCATATCAAAAGAGCAAATTACCAAGCCTACGTGTGGAGAAAAGTTTTAGTTGCAAAACAACGAGTGCCATCGCCTGAAGGTTACGGCTGGAAGCTTTGAAGATAACACATTATTCCCTCACCTTATGACAAAGCCACCAGCGCCAGCATGCGTCTTAGAGCTTACCAATTGCAAGTGCTCTAAGCCTTCATGCACACAGAATTGCTCTTGCAGCAACAATGGTCTGGTCTGCACTGAGGCGTGTAAGTGTATGGCTGATGAGAAATGCCGTAATCCCAACAAGATGCATTGTTACAACTCAGAAAATGAAGAATTGGATGATTCAGACAGTTATGAGTGTGCCGATTAAAGACATTAATCGAAAATGCCAAACATAGCTAGGTTCAACCTGCTCGTATATAACTAATTTACCACATGCTAACTTTTTCAAAGATTTCTTGTAAATTTTCTGAGCATAAAAATAAGTGATAAAACAAAGCGGGTTTACTATGTAAATGAATTTGAAAACATACAAATCCATATTAACCAAAGTATCGATTAGTTCTCTTAAAGTGGCTCATTGCTGTTTTAACTTTGTAGCGCACAATTCCTTTTACTGTTTATTGTGCAAGGTATGGTCATGAAACTTGGCTGCAACATTGCCACAGTATTGTGCTGTGTGAAAAATGCAAAAACTTATTTCGTTTCTTCGTTGCCATGGTAACAAAGCCATTTTCGAAAGATCGTGCTTTCCATTTTTCTTGGATTCTTTGAAATGACTTAATCGGTTGTGAGCCACCTTAAGTGAAAACTGATACCACATTTCGACTCTACAACATGCCTAGCGTTAATCAGCGATGTTTAATCTACCAGAATTCGTTTTCAAACCTTTACTGTGGAACGGGTTGATCGAGATCATTTTCTCCTCGGCCCAGCTCCCGGACTACAAATGCCTGTGTTGTATGTGTATTCAACATGATTGACATGACCATAGAATAAGAAATGAATAGAAGGGCAACTCACGTGTACAACACGTAACCAATTTCAGTGCACACGTGTGGGATCTCTCAAGCTTGCAGCCAGTAAAGCCAGTCAGTGCAATAGGGATTTGTATTAGGAAATGTACATTTTGATCACAAAATCGACTATTTTTTGGAAACAAAGGATTAGAATATCAAACTACTACAACTGCCTGCAGAGGCAATGTAAGCCTAAATTATTATTGTGGCTAGCATAGAAAGAAACGAATATTTAGGGAGAAATATTGTTGTGTGAGCTACAGTCTGAATCTGAATGAAATGCTGACAGTCGATCGCGTATACTGTGTTGTTTATTTCGATTTTCGAGGTTTATGACAAATCTTATCAGGTCGAGTTTTGGATTGCATAAAATTTTATTTAAAAAAGTATAAATTTCAAAGTCGCAAGCAATTAATCAAATTTATTTTGTGTGGGAAGTTGTTTGTCTGTCTGTGTCTGACATGTTGAACTACAAATGCAAACAATATCAGGAAAATGTTATTTATTCATGTAATTAAAATATCACGATTATGAATTAACATTCATTCCTAATACTACAATATTACTTCGAAGACATCGAATTTTTCCAATAAATAAACCAAACTATCATATGTTAATATACTGTACTTTATACTTTGTAAGCAACAGGTATTAATACGTTTAAATTTCGAATTTAGCAATTCTTTAACAGCTCATAACCAAGCGAAATGTATTCACTAACCTTCAAATTACAACCAGCGGCCATGGTTTGTAATTTGAATCGTTCTTTACGAAAAATAGTCGATTTATTCAGCTAAATGGCCATTCTGCAATACAAATCTCTAAAAAATTGACTGCATGCTTTACTGGCTGCGAGTAATTAGAGTGGGCAATTTCCGGTATGCGTGAGGCGACATACGCAGCTTCAAAAACTTCAAAGGTTCCGACTCAAGATGCCCTTCTATTCATTTCTTATTCTATGACATGTAAGAAATGTAACTCTCTCCAGCATTTATTTATTTATTTATTTAACTTTGCCAAGTAACATGCAACATTTAACAGTACTGATTTACAATGACGTATAATATGTGTTCCATTGGCAGGGTGCACACAATAGTTTTCACCAATTACAGCAGCCCCATGAACAATGCTAATACTATACAACGAATACAAATCTAATAACAACACAATATTTGACAGGACAAATTACGAGACTTGTTACAAGACAAACATATAGATTTCCATGTCCTTCGATCATCAACATCAAAAACGTCTTCCAGCGCTAACTTGTAATATTTAGAAAGTCCATTTTTGAATTGTCCTAAACTAATGTTATTGCTTGTCAAACTTTTTGGTAGTGTGTTCCATAATCTCTTTGTTCGGTTGAGAAATGACCTTTGGTAGGTAGTGGTCTTGCATTGTGTCGTTGTAATTGACAGATGATTGGGATAGTTTCTCTTCTGTTGTTATTGGGTGACGACTGTATTAAATTATTGTCAGCTGTCACCCAATAACAACAGAAGAGAAACCAGGTCATCTAATCCCAATCATCTGTCAATTACAACGGCACAATGCAGGACCACTACCTACCAAAGGTAATTTCTCAACCGAACAAAGAGATTATAGAACATACTACCAAAAAGTTTGACAAGCAATAACATTAGTTTAGGACAATTCAAAAACGGACTTCCTAAATATTACAAGTTAGAAGTTTAGAAGAATACTTAAAATTTCTCTGATGCCAGTATAAATCATCTTCGGATATTTCTGAATACATACCACGAGGTCCAGACCTACCAGAAAATCACTTAAAAAAGTATATAAGCCCAGGGCTTATTATAATATTCTATTTTCCTATTTAGTCTAAAATACACACACCAAAATCTATTCTATACACAAGCGTCCTTTTTCCACGAGGTTTCTTTCTCTACCCCCTTTTGTCCCCTATATCCTCTAAATCCATATCGGTCCCTTAATATCAACTATGGTCATAATATAATACAAAATAACTCAAACAGAAACACTATCTCCCTCCCCCCTTTTAAATGTTAGTATCAAACAATATTTAAGCGTTCATTGTTGATCCTGAAATGTTTTAATCCAAGACAAAGTCTTTCAACCGTGCTGGTAGCTTGTGTCCACGTACAGGCTGTCTCTCCGTTGGCTTGGTTTGATGTTGTTCACCTGTTCGAGAAGTACAACGTTTTTGATCTGATCTTTTCTCGTTCGGTGTCGGCAATTTCCTGACAAACGAAACATTTTGCATGATGCACGGTTCGTCTCCACGTTTTAAGAATACGCTTGGTCCTTTCTTCTTGATTATAGTATATGGTTGTGGATCATACGAGGAGGACAGTTTGTTTTTCTTTAGTTCTTTTAACAGCACGACATCTCCCTCCTTTATCGTAGACGAGATGGCATGTTGGGTCTTGTCAGCATATTCTTTTGTGCGTTGTTTGTGGTTGTGATCATGTTCACAAGCAGCTTCTAGGGTCGGACTTGGCTGGTCTACACGGATATGAGGCAATTTTGTTTTAATTCTGCGACCAAAAAACAGCTCGGCGGGAGAGATGCCAGTAGATATATGAGGTGTTGCTCTATACATCATCAAACATTTGGGTAGTTCTTGTTTCCAATTTCGACCTTCCGCGTTAGCAGCTTTGACAGCTTTTCCTAATGTTT